GTATTACACGCACCAGACTTTTGGGCCGAAATGTGCGCTCACTTTCATATCATTTTCCGTCTTATAATTTGATCGCATTTTCAGTTTCAGCTTAAGGTTAAGGATAGTATGGGATCGACGAAGAAATACATTCACAATACAGAGAAAGTAATCGTTTTTATGAACAAACGCTTACTTATATGAGTCAATAGCTGGAACCAAACCAAACCAAACCCATTCCCACTCTTATGTGAATCACAACTTCTTCTTCTTCTTGTGAGCCAAATAGTGGGCAACTATTTTGCATTCAATGTATTAATTATATATAAAAACTAACATCAAATGTATTAAAATTCATAATTTACATGATATGTCCATGTTTTTGACCAAATTTGATCATATATTACACCCTTCATTGACCCCATTTGTATCGTAGGATTTTTATAACAGATATTACAGACGCTTAATATTAATTAAATGAAACTGAACTGAGAAATGAAATATAAATTAATAGCATTTCTGTCAGTAATTGATTGAGAATCAAATACATTAAAATTATACATTATTTCAAGAGATAATATTATTACGATTGAAATAAAGTGCTAGAATATGACTTGCATTCAATATCACAATGATTATACAATTGATTAATTACCGTCAAATAAAAAACACCGAAATAAAACTCATGGCATTCAATAAAAATTTTGTTTTAATTAAATATAGCAAATAGTAAAACATACTTTACACGAGAGATATAACTTATTTCACACTATTGTAATTAACACTATTATAGAAATTGTAGCTAAATTGTAGGTTCTCGATAACACTTGGTCAGAATACGAATAACTTAGCATGAGCAATATGATGTTCAATCAAGTTATCTATTGATTTGACGATTAATATTAACAATTATTTAGCGTTATTTTGCAAAATATCATATTTTCTAAACAAGTTAATTGCAATCAGAAATAAATTAACATTTATAAAATAAACATTTTTGTACACATTTAGTAAATCTTATACCAGAAACTAAACTCCAAATTACAACAACTGATGGATTTGTTTTCATTTAACGTTTCGTATGAAAGAAGACTAAACTTAATAACTATACCTTCCTTTTGAAGATATAATTATAAGCTATGAAATGAATTCAAATATATTATAATTAATATGCAATATATTCTGATATTTATCAAACATGTCTATTAAAGCGGAATATACGGCAGTGATTATCATAAAATTAAGTGAACATATTTTGTATTCAACATATTATTCGCATTTTTTGGCTAAAATGTTGTTTCAGAAAATGAGGAATACATTCATTTCTAAACCACCACTACATTCGCATTTGTAGCCAATTTCTCAACAAATACCTAAATATTTTGTTTTAAAAATTTTACAATCAATAGAATTTACATTTGGAGAAATATCGTACAAAAACCACCATGGTAGAGTCAATTGTAAATTTTGTAAACATGATAATCAATGGTGTTTATTAGGACGCGTGGAATACTTTAAAATTATCTATTGATTGCACTCTATTTTATTGGTTTTACAACTATTACTCCTATAACTCCTCTTTTCTGGGGCTATATTTGCTTTAAAATCGATATAAATAGTCATAAAAGGAGACTAAAGAGTGATAAAAAATTAATTGAACTCATCTATAAAGCGCACACACTTTGGATGTAATGCTAAAATGTAGGCAAACATTGAGAGTATACGAAAGCGAGAGAGAGAGAGAGAGAGAGAGAGAGAGAGAGANAGAGAGAGAGAGAGAGAGAGAGAGAGAGAGAGAGAGAGAGAGAGAGAGAGAGCCCACACCCCTGTCTACGAAAACGATAACATCGATGGAATGCCGATATTTTTGTTGTTGGCCTTACCTTTCGGTATTTTAAATGAATGTATTATTTTAATGGTAACAAATGTCCGCCATTTCAAGACGTGATTCAAAAATTAATACCGAATTTAATGGACGGAATAGGATATGCTTTGTTTGCTTAACATATAATGACTGATATTCTGTAGCCTTAAGATTAAGACAAAACATAGATTTAGTTAATTATCAGATATTTAAAGAGAGGAAATGGAAAGAAGTGCTGAAACAGTGTTCATAGAAGGGATGGTATGAATAGAGCAATAAAATAGTGGCACTTCTTTGAAGTAAAGTCTAATGGATTTATGTGTTGTTAAGTCGGAAGCGATGATTCAATTGTTTTCAGTTCACTACTTCTTCAATGTCTACATTTTGGGAGATATTTGTGTGAAATGTATTTTGATTTGCAGTTAGCGTTTTGAAGATTGATTGATAGTCTCGTCCAGTATTTACACAAATATTCAATAAATAGTTTTTGCAAAAATATTTTTCATATATTGATGAAAATCCGATTTCAATGTCATTCTTAAGCATTGAAAAAGAAAAATAAAGTTTGAGTTTTTGTAGAGTTAGGGACAGAAAGTTATTGTTATTGAAGAGTGTAAACGGTCTGGTCTGGTATGGGAACAGGTTAGCAGACATTCACTGCTCTCAATGGTAATTGTGAGCTAAAGTAAAGCTAAAGTATAGCCTAACGTTAAGTAAAGCAAAACTAATGCATATCTGCTATTCATGCGATCATAAGATCAGTACTGAATAAAAGGAAATCCAAATCTATGGCCAAATGTTATGAACGCTTTCATTGACGGCTCGGCCATACAAACCCATAGCATACCATGTATTGTATACAACATTAAAGATTGCCAATTGCCTGTAATATATACCCCGGGTATAAAAAGCACTGCAATATTAGCTCTTTGGCTCAATTACATTGTCGGCCCAAAGACAAGGTTTGCTCAAATGAAAAGCAACGCTACCAGTGCTGTACAACAGTGTATAACACCCCACACTATACCCCACACCAGACCCCAGCAGTACAACCCAAACAGTCCCACAACAGTACAGTTATGCCGACAATAACTTTAGACACGAATACGAGTGAATAAACACTACAAGACTTAAGACGACTGACAAACAAGTTTTGTAACCAATAAACGCATCGCAAGTAGTATTCAAGATATCGGTTCAATTATAGCATACATTCTGCACATTAGCTGCGACTTCACAACACAGACAACAACTTTCGGCTCTCAAAACAATCATAAAATTCTTGCTTTCGATCGTAAGATAATAAGACATTCAATTATTTACAATATAATCACAACTTTTTGAGATTCAAAAAATAAGTGTCGTTTATAATAGAGAAGTGCACAACGAAAACAAAAAACACATGAATTAATTTCAAACAAAAATTAATATTTTTTTCATTTTTATTCTTTCATAAAATATATATTTAAGTTAAATGAGAGCTCATAATGAAAAAGCCTAAGGGCTTAGGCCTCAGTCTAAAGAGAGTTAAGGAATGGTTTTGAAAATAATGGTAAATATAGAAAACGATGAGATATAACGATGAGATGACCCTAAACTTCCTGCGAGAGAGCACTGATATGGCTGTGCTTTGGGGCAGATGTTTGCCTGCGAGACGAGTTAGCCCTACAGTTAATGAGAACCAAACCAACAGAACATACAATCCGTATATAATATTAATTTCAGTTTTCATTATTACAGTATTATTATTATTATTATTACATTATCTTATGTTTAATACAAACCTAAAGCACAGTCATATCATAGCCAACACTCAGACCACTAATCGGTATGATATATATCTTCCGGCTATTCATTCAATCCAAACAATTATTTAACAATTAAACTCAAAATCAATTAAAATGGACTCCAATTACAAACCTGTTTCGGAGGGTCTGATAATTTTGACCACTTGTCCTCTCTTGAGGCCAAAATAACGGGCCACCGGATCACTCGCTTGGATTCGCATCAATTGATTCTCTTTCAGCTTATATCTGGCCAACAGTTCCGCCTTCTCTTCGGGCGTCAGCACCACGTGTTCGGGAACTAACTGTACGTTTCATTGACTCGTTATTTAACTGACAATAGTTTGTGGCAAACAATATGACAATTCAGACCTCGTGTTCGGTAATATTGATGAGTAGTTCCGATTCGAGAAACTGTTCGAGAATATACTTCGGGGCCATATCTGTGAGCGCCTGTTTGGCCGATGGAGTCATTCCCACCTGAACTACAATACAAGCTCTACTAATGTTTTCCTCTTGCATTCGTTGGCAATAGTTCTTCACTGTCTTTATGCCAATCTTCGGCTCATCCGGAAAGAAGACAAACATCTGATCTGTAAAGTGGTATCAAAGCAATCAAATTAGTGGCAACTAATGTGCGGCCAAATCGCGTGGTGGCAGACCTGTGGGGTCGTCATTGTGTGCCACCAGTACTATGAGATCACTTCTCGCCGGATGTCTTTCGCTAATCAAAAACAAGACATCACTTATAGACTAACGTGTCTTCAAATTGTCTGCCAATCGCTTTCCCAACGCATACCTGGGTTTGTCTCCATACGTCTCCTTGAATTGATCCAACGTTTGGTCCAATTCCTCCTGAGTCACGAGATATCCCCTGTCGTGACACAACTGCCGGCAAAACAAGAGAGAAAGACAATGAGTAAGCGCTGAAGACAACTGATCCCATATACGAGACAATACCTGCATAATGGTCTTGCGGATGCGCCACAGCTTATAGGTGTCCGCCTCGTCGTCCATCACTCCTGAGGGCTAACTCTTCGGCCGCTAATTATGGCTTCAATTGAACGATAAATGCAATGATATTGTGATCGAAATCACGTTTTCGTCGATTATTTGGCGGACAATAGACGGCAACACATGTTTGCTGTCTCTCTGTCTCTGTTGTGCTTTTGTGTTGGTTTTCACTTCTCACACAAATAACGTATTTGTGGCACAACTTTGAAAAACTATTTTTTACTAAAATTCAGATAAATTGATGAATGATGTGGTTTATAAAATCGTTCGCCTCCTCCCCCTCCCAACCCCCACCCTATGGGATTTCACATGGGATTGTATGTTATTAATAATCCTATGTCATGGGTATCTAATAAGCTATGTTAAAACTACAGTATAAGAAATATTTTCAATGTGTTTCTATGGGATTACAGCTTAAGTCTATGACATAGGTTTAACATGGGCAATGCTAAGTCTATGGGCTTGTATTGTCTGTGGCAAAGTTAAGTCGATGGGTAATGTCAATCCTATGGACTAATGCTAAGTATATGGCAATGCTACGTCTATGGGTAATGCTAAGTCTCTGGATAATGATTAATGTGTAATGATCAACTCAATATGTAATTCTAAGACTATGGGTTATGCTAAGTCTATGATAATACTGTCTAAGGACAATGATAACTCTATGGGTAATATAGAATCTATGGCAATACTAAGTCTGTCGTTGGGACGAATGCTAATCTATTCTATGATCATCACCCGAATTGTGGTTAACGCATAGCATCGCTGTGTGTAACTTGTTTTATATTTTTCTCATCATTTGTATTACGAGTTAGTGTTAAATAAGTTTTTAATAAAGTTGTTTATTTCTATTCTATGATCATCACCCGAATTGTGGTTAACGCATAGCATCGCTGTGTGTAACTTGTTTTATATTTTTCTCATCATTTGTATTACGAGTTAGTGTTAAATAAGTTTTTAATAAAGTTGTTTATTCATTATAATTGGGTTTTAAATAAAATTATACTTTTAAATAAATGTTTATTACAAACGAGTTATAAATTATTGACAATAAAAGTTGGCTCTGTTTTTGTCTCTTAAATAATTAATTTTATGAAACATAAATTGTTTGAGTAGTTATGCAATAGACAATCGTAGTCGCGAGTAAGGATGGTGAAATTGAACAAATAATCGAGATCATTGATTATCTATTGGAATCAAATTCTTGGTTAATTATATTTTTATTGGAAAACATATTTGTAAAGTTAAGCTTTAATAACATGTTTATGAATATTACTCTGTTATGCAATCGTCAGTACTATCTATTAAGCCATCTCTTCTTTAAGCTTGAAATCCATGAATTGTTTTCCAATAAAATATTAATTTCATTCAGAGCAGATAAGAAGCCAAAGTTATAATTCCCACAAAAAACGTACAAATTATATACATATTGATTGGGTAAATAACCCTTGGTCTGTACTGTGGTCAATTTGGCCGATAAATGTTAGAAATTTGGGCCATCAACAAAATGCCTAAATTTTTATAAATAATATTCTATCTACTATGAATAACAACAGGTTTGAATAACAATTGATTTAACAAATATGTTTTTAATAAAATATAAGCATTTTAATAATATAATTTTGTAATATAGCTCATATTACCAAAAATTAGTAATAAAATTGTTATTATAATAAATTAACTAAAAATTGTATACAAATGAAATGTATTAAAGTGATAAATTATTAAATGTTTTGATAAAAAATTTTAAACTTTTTGTACATTAATACGTGATTTTCAATAAAACTCAATATATCACGAACTGGAATTTATAAGTGTTATTTGAAAAAGCAGTTATAAGCAGATTTAATATTATTATTAGAAACCGGATATTTTCCATCAATATTAACAACTCGAAATACAATTATAAATAATCTCTATAATGAAATAATTGCATATTTTCCACAAACAGAACTTATTAAAGCATTTGATATACTTGATCCGACGAAATTTCCATCAGAAAACCATCAATTTTATGGGATAAGTGAAATTGATTTTCTAGCAAAATATTTTAATTTAGAAACAAATATTATTTTGAGAGAGTGGCCAATATTTCTAGATTTAATAACTTCTATCGAGAAGTGGTGTCGTATCAAAACTCTCCCACTAAACAAATTATATGGAGAAATCTTACAAATACCCGATATTCCTTTACACGTTAAACGATTAATTGAAATTTCGATTTCTTTACCTATTGGTTTGTACATTATTATAATCATTATAAATTTTAATTAAGTTTACTTATAGGTACAGCTAATGTTGACCGTAGTTTTTCGATACTGAAAAACATTCATACAGACAGGCGTTCTAGACTGTCAGCCGATAGTTTGAATTCACTAATGATTATAAAATACAATGGTCCCACCGATGTTAAAAAATTTAATTCTATTTCCCCTGCAAAATATTGGATTGACATTGATAAAAAGCAATTTGTTGACGAAATTGTGCCACGTGGAAGTAAACGTAAATTCGATTCCGATATTGACTCTGACGATCGTAATTTTATTGAAAGCAACTTGTTTTAATTATATAGTTATTACACTATATAGCACAGTTTCTGTTTAATTGTTTTTAAAAATAATTAAAATTCTTAAAATTACAATATTTTGTATATGGCATATTTTTCGGTCAACATACAGACCAAGGGTTATTTACACAATCTATATGTTTATAATCTGTACGTTTTTTGTGGGAATTATAACTTTGGCTTCTTATCTGATTCAGAGATTGATTCGACTTTCAATACAAGACCTCATTTTAATAGGGATTTATCGATGAAAATAAGTTGTATTTAGTTGTTCACTAAAATCAGGTCTTATTATCAATATTGTACTGCATTTTTGATGAATAAGATGTATATGTTGTGTGTTGTGGGCTATGGGGTGTGGATTGTGGAGGCAATTGAGAAATTATTCATTCAATTATCCATTAGTGGAATAATTGAAGTGACAATAAATTAGGGGAACTGATGGCGAGATAATGGGTCCGCG